TTATTTCCTTCTTTTAGTCAAACTGAATTTGTGCGTTTACAAGAACATTTTCTCGTGATTTGAAATGCCTGTGGTGACTTGCAAATACGTACGACACAAAGAAGTGGGCTTGATTTTTGCTATGACTTTGAACCGTTTGCACTTGTCCCTTTCTTGCTTTTCTGGGACCCTGGGTTTTTTACGATCAAAAACTACTCTTTTGTCTTTACTTCTCATTGAAATCCGAAAAGGAGAACTAGTCCTTGTAATTATCACATAACTTTAGCAATTTAAGCAAAAAGAAGCAGCTTTTGTCCTCATTACCTCATAACGCGGAGTCTATATTTATGATCTAATTGTTAAATAGATAACTATACTAGTTCGTTTCTCAACGATTGTGAAGCTTTAGTTGTGGAGATCATATCTTCATTAGGTGACTGCATTTGTCGCAAAACACTCAAGGAACGCGTCATTAATATTTTTCTCTGCGCGATGAATCAATTTTACCAGCGAATTACCAGCATCAGCAATTACAATAAACATTTGCACGCCCAGTAGTAATAAAAAAATAGCAAAAATAGACAGAGTGCCAAGCGTGCCAACCTTACAACTCGGCCGTCGGTCTAACTCAACGTTCAAACACTCCGTCCACGCCATCTTGTTGTACGTAAAAATAAGTCATTGAATTAAAGGTATATTCGTTTTGCTATATACATAACTTATTTTAATAAGCTTGTAGGAGAAAGGGGAGCACCGTAAATATGATTTAGGGAACACGCACAAGAATCTCTGACGAACTGTAAACTGTTTCTTTCGGCATATATCTGGCGAGCGATCGTTTTCGCTACATTCGCCACGACAATGCGAGTGTTTATCGTTTAAGGAATACTGAAATCAAATAAGTTCTTTCACCTCCTCGCACTGACTATCTGAAGAGTTTTTAGTACAGCGGAGCTCAGTTGTGGAATAATTGAATTTATTAAAGGTTAATAACTGAGTCCTTGATGATTGACTTGAGATATCCAATAAACTTCGAAAAAGATCTGTCAACTAGAAATTTCAGAACAATCTCCGGACATTTTGGATTATTAGCCGAAAAGTGCCGAAAATTGTGTAGGGTTATTCATATTCCACCGTGTACTAGTACTGTTGGTAGCAAATTTGTCAAAAGTTGTTGCACAATTTGTATTGGATCAGTATTTATTAACTAACCTTCCATGGCCGGAATTAATATTACGCCAGAAGGAAACCCTCTGAAACTACTAGTGTGTTTTGGAAAGCGTCCTTGGGACTCCACTTCACTGGTTGAATCGTAAGCATAGAAGCAAAGAAACCCAAGATCAGGATTTCAAGTGCCGTGTCCTAACCACTCGGCCACGCTACCTCTTTGCTTTATAACTGAACTCAGCATATACATATAACTAACATTACGATATCGCTGGAGCTCTGCTCTCTTTTTCCGCCATAGTGTTACCCTTTACTGATAAATAATGAAGTTATTTTAACAGTCAACGCAACTAGTTAGCTTACCAGTGAAGGGTGGTTGTGTAGTGACAGGTAGGGCCGTTGCTCTGACATTAACGGCGGAGGATGAAGGTCTGGGCTGGGGCGTTGACGTCGCGGTAACTGAGTGTAAAGTTAAACAAAGAATTATTAAGTTTCCAACCATTTTCTGAAGTTTCGGAGCATTTTCCGAAAATTCCCCGAAGATTATTCGTGGGCTACCTAAAGAAAACTTTCAAAGGGACCAGCTACATTTTATTAGAGAATAACAATTGATCTCTCGATCATATCGTTAGCCTGCTATCCTGGTTAACGATCCTTGTCTTCATAATGACACATTGCATTGTCAGACTGTGAAAGTGGTAGCTTTTGAAACAATACAGAATTACATACTAATACAATGAAATTGTTCCAATGAAAATCTTTCATACCTTACCAGGATAGACTATGAATAAGTTTAACAAATCGAATGTGGTTTAGCGTTGTCTGTACTCTTATCGACAACGATAAGCGTCATCACACACTTTTGAGACTGAACGAAGGTTAAGTGATCGTTTTCGAAAATTGCTTAAGAAAATGGTGATGTAGCAATTTCCGTTTTACGGGCGATGACGTCATAACGGGCGAACCAAACAAAGAACATCGAATTTTAACTGACCAATTATAAGATTCTACCTTTTGTCAGGCAGGAAAAATGGAGTTGAGAATATATTACTGTGAACACGCATAGCTGATAATAAGATCATGATAGAAGTCATGTTCCTGCTTTTGCTCATTTGTTAATTTCCTTTCTGCGTTTTCTCTTTGGATACGTGACCATACCTTACCACATTTGTTATCACAGAAATTCCAGATGCCTTATAAGTTCCCTGTTCACGGTCTCTGGCTTGTCATGGGTTATAAGACCATTCTAGCCAAATACGGGCACATGGCTTTCAATCTATAAGCTAACATGCTTTGCACATTTGCAAGGGTTGCTTGACAAAGGGAAGTAGTCTTTCAACTAAATAGTGCTTATTTAGCTTATTTTAGTGCGGCTTCGCGAGGTTCGCTTTCTTGTCTGAAATATTTACTTTCCATTTAGATTTCTACAAGTCTGTATTGGAATGAGATGGAATAAAAAATAAATTGCACGCTACTATTAGCACGCATAAAAATGGAGGAGCTCAGTGGAGAAAAACTTTGAATCAGGCCAAATGATAACGCGTCCTGGCTAAATATAATTTCGAAAGCCATATATCCCGATTTTTTAATTGGTAACAGCTTTGCCAATACAGCATGTGCTAGCTTCAGCAAGTTTCGATTTACGAGCTAATCTTCAATATTGCCTCACGACTGTCTTGACTTGGTTGCCCACGTCTGGAAATATTTGTCTCTTTAACGACACTATTATTAGTTCAATCTTCTTAAAATGAAATCATGAGAAAGCTCACGAAAGCGGCATAAGAAAATGAGAGTTGCTTTAAAACTATACTTACAAAGATACGTGCACACTTTGGATAAAAAAAATTATTCGGAGCGAACGTTTTAAACTTCGTGTTAAAGTCACGGTTTGCGCATCTTGTACATGTAAGAGTATGGTCCAATTTTTTGGAATCCGAGTTAATCTTTTCCATCATTAACCATCCTTGGTTCTTTATGGTTTATTAATATCTATTTGGTGTTTTTCTATCGTAGGAAAGTATTATTTTTAAGTTTCCTCCGATTTAAAGT